CTTGCATTAAATAATGAAAATATTATAAATATATGAATGTCATAAAGTCACGGTGTTTTGGAATGCTCCAGGACCCTGGAAAATTTTAATCCAGTTTTCTTATTTTACATAATGGGAAACTAAGACCCACACTGGTGTTTAATAAAGGCTGTGGAAAGAAAATCAATGTAGCATATTTCCTATTTTTTTTTCTGCTGAAGACCATACATCTACATGTACCTGTAAAGGAAAAATGGCATGGATATTCAGTGCTTAAATTGAGGAGTATTATTATTACAAGTAAAACTTAAAGTTAACAGTATAGATTCATGGGGGGGCAGAACACATTTTAAGGGTCAAAATAGTAGATTTATGTACATTCTCAGTAAACTGATTCACTGGGTTTTTAAATTTTTCTGACTTTTGAATTACCATTGGAACGGCATAGCATTGTTTCCTAAAGTTATTTTAGAAATTACATTTCCCATTTTTTCTATAAATAATACGGCATAGCATTGTTTCCTAAAGTTATTTTAGAAATTACATTTCCCATTTTTTCTATAAATAATACTGTGGCTTTTATGATGCACGAGTACACATTGAGACCCGATAGTAATGTTTTCTGATCCCTTGCGCTTTCTGAAATGACAGGCATGCTCATGGGTTAGAGTCCATTGCCCCCAGTCGCTTGAATGAGCTTTTCTTTATTATTCATTTTAATGTTAAGGAATGAACACTTTAGTACCAAGTACTAAACAGCCTTCCTTTAGAGGCACAGTGATTGGAAATAAATATTAGCACAGATTACTCAGTCACTTTATTTTACTTTTGCTGTTAGCCCCACCCCCAATGTTTTAAGTTAGCTGGGTTTCTTTAAAACTTGTGCTTTTAGTGTTTTATTGATTGATCCTAAACTCCATGCTTGGTCCTTCCAGTCATTCTTTTTTTTTTTTTTTTTTTTTAAAGAGAGAGAGAATTTTTTAATATTTATTTTTCAATTTTCGGTGGATACAACATCTTTATTTTATTTTATGTGGTGCGAGGATTGAGCCCAGTGCCCCGTGCATGCCCCGTGCATGCGCATKATCGCTTGAGCCACATCCCCAGCCCTCCTTCCAGTGGAACTAATTCTACAATTCATCCACCTCCCCAATTCACCTCCCCAATTCCTCCCTTTGTGCCCCTCATGAAGCATCTGTGGAGAAGAAAGACCATACCTTAATGAAAGATTCTGCCTCCTTTCCTGCAAGGCTGAGTTCTAGTGACAAGCAGGTCTCTGTTCAGCAGCAGGAGAAGCTGCTTGGGAAATGTGGTTTTGAGCAGATTTTAATAGTTAATATTTATTTTGTAACCATTTATTGTTAGACATTAAGATTAGTCCTTTCAGGGCTGTGGATACAACTCAGTTGATAGAGTAGTTGCCTAGCATGCACAAGGCCCTGGTTTAACCTCAGCATCACCACCAAAAAAAAAGATCTTTTGCTGGGTGCTGTGGCACTCGTCTGTAATTCCAACGGCATGGGAGGCTGAGGCAGGAGGATTCAAAGCCAGCTTCAGCATCAGCCAGGCACTAAGCAACTCAGTGAGACCCTATCTCTAAATAAAATACAAAATAGGGCTGGGGATGTGGCTTAGTGGTTGAGTGCCCCTGAGTTTAATCCCTAGTACCAAAAAGAAAAAAAAAAAAAAAAAGATTTGTTCTTTTAAAATTATTGTGAGGGCTTGGGGATGTGGCTCAAGCGGTAGCGCGCTCGCCTGGCATGCGTGTGGCCCTGGTTCGATCCTCAGCACCACATACAAATAAAGATGTTGTGTCCGCCGAAAACTAAACAATAAATAAAGAAAAAATAAAATTATTGTGATTTTTAGTTGTAGATAGATACAACACTTTTATTTTATTTGTTTTTATTTTTATGTGGTGCCAGGGATCGAACCCAGTGCCTCTTGCATGCTAGGCAAGCACTCTACCACTGAGCCACAACCCTGGCCCTAAAATTATTTTTAATTAGTCCCTTTTAACATTATTCTTAAAATCACGTTAACAAAACCCAAAGCCAGAATTGAGAAAGGCCAGGTATAGGTTTGTACTTGAAAAGTAGGGTCATGCTTAGTCTTGACTACTGAGCTCAGAATGTGTACATTTTAATTCTAATCTTATTTAAGGAGTGGAGTGCAGGCAGGCCTGGTATGTAGACCTTCTCACGCCATTCACGGTTTTGGCAGTTTCCAGCAAAAGGAAAGCAGCCTGTCTTATCTTGAACATGTTGGCTTCACAAAGAATCTTTTCTTTCAGGACTCTGGGAACTCTGGGAATCAAGAAGCAAATCCCACCCGTTACTTTCTAGCTAAATAAGTTTCCTCATCTTTAAAGTGAGCAGAATAATGGTGTATCAACTCAGGGGCATTGAGAACAGATCATGTACAGTTCAAGCAGTGTCCACATGCAGCCTGGCTGCTGGCCTCCTCCTCCTCTCCTTTAATTGATATTTATGTTTTTTTAGCTGTTTATTCCAGCCCAGAAAGCCATCCCAGGATTGAGTAGCTTAAAATGATTACTTTTTCATATGTCGTTATTTTGCAAATCATGAATTTAGGCAAAGCTTAGCTGGGCAATTCTGCTCCATGTGGGCATCCATTGTGACCCCTTGATGGTTTTCAGGGTCTTATTTTTTTTTTTTTTTTTTTTTTAAAGAGAGAGTGAGAATTTTTTATTTTTTAATATTTATTTTTTAGTTCTCGGCGGACACAACATCTTTGTTGGTATGTGGTGCTGAGGATCGAACCCGGGCCGCACGCATGCCAGGCGAGCGCTCTACCGCTTGAGCCACATCCCCAGCCCCGGTTTTCAGGGTCTTAAAAAAATATATTGTTTCAGGGCTGGGATTGTGGCTCAGTGATAGAGCGCTTGCCTAGCATGTGTGAGGCCCTGGGTTCAAACCTCAGCCCCACATATAAATAAATAAGTGAATAAAATAAAGGCATTGTGTTCATATGCAACTACAAATATGTATAAAAAACTCTTTAAATAAAATTACTTCAAATATCAAGTTGTGGCAGTCCTTGACATTCCTGGATGTGCCTTCTCGGGCAGGACTTGAAAACGCCTCCTCTGCCCGTGGTTGCCTCCTGTGCTCCATGGTGTCTTGTCCAGCACAGTGTTTCCTTGTGAGGAGGGCTACATCTTCTCCCTGTCCCTGGCTTTTACCTGTGCGTGTGGTGTCCAGTAGAAAGCCTGCCTTGGCCAGCGCCCAGGATCTAGCTTCTTGTCTTCTGCACATTATATAGTGTTTGCTGCTGGGTTTGGATCTGTGGTCAGGCAGGCACCAGCTACTTTTTAGTTGCTAATCTGATTAGCCCTTAACTCTCTACCTTCTCATCTCTGTGGCCTGAGGAGCTGATGCTCAGTCACCCACCATTAGAAATCCCTGCCAGTGGCCTTGCAGACATTTGTCTTGTATCTTTTACTTCTTATCCCTTATTTATTAAAAGAAAACATTTTTTTTTTTTTAATTTTGTTCACAGCCTCGCACATGCTGGGGACTGTGGTAGGTGCTAGTTCCACAGTTCAGATGGCCAGTTTCCCTGTGGCCTTGGCTGTTGTCTGTGGTCACAAGGGCCTGAAGTTGGAGAGAGGAAACCTAGGGAAGTTCGTCAGGGTAGCTGTGGGCCAGGCCAACAAAAACTGCACCCCTTCCTGATGTGAGCTGAGACCTTTGTGTCCTGCTCACAGGTGCTGCTCCTGGGTTGTCTGTCCTTCCCCAAAGGTCCCCACTTTGCCTCTCCTATGCAGCTAGTGTAAGTTCAGTGTCAGTGATTTGTGCTTCCTTCTCCAATTTTCCTTAAGAAAAGGCCCGTGTTTCTGACTCTTCAGGCCCCGTGGCTGGTAGCTGCAGACACTGGTCCCARGCTGGTCCTTTTCTGGCTGGCTTCTGTGACAGCTTGATGAACCCTTTAATTTCAAACATCCCCTGGTCTCAGAGTTTTTGTTTTAACATCTCAAACAGTGCCCCTGCCTTTTACAGTGAGTCTGTCTCCTTGCTAAATTGTGTCTGAACTGTTTCTGGAGCGTGGTCGTGTCCAATTTTTGTGCCCAGTGTACAGTGAACTGGATGTAGGAAATGCTCTGTATGCTGTATGTATATTTTTGAAGCAGTCTTTCAGTATTTTATAGAAACAGAAAAGGAACTATTAAATGATTAAAGGCATTGCTTAGGGATTAAAGATGAACATTATATAGTATATAAGAACATCATTTTAGGTGAGGGGTTGGGTTAAATAGAATGCAAAGTAAGTACCCGTGTCAGCAGACTTAAATTTGAGCCCTCTTGGCATCTTTTTATATTGTTCACAAACTGGGGCATATTGACATTTCTTGTATTTACTGTTATTTATTCTTGGTACCAAAAATGTGATTGTTAATGGGGACTGTTTCCATCTGCATGAATGTAGATGTGCTAATAACTTCTCTTCCTCTGATCTGTTTGGGGAATGCTTTGCAGGGATACTACTGATACATTTTTTGAAAACTATTAGAAGTCAGATTTCTCAGGGTGGTGCTSTATGCTCAGCATAGAGCATTAGTTAGCGTGTGGAAAGCCCCAGCTTCATCCCTAGTACTGGGCAGGGATGGGGTGGGGGAGGAGAAAGAAATCAGATTTCTCCAGAAATGAACTGTGCTGCTATTAGCAGATCCTTTTTGTGTGGGATAAATCAAGAGTGTGAATTATCATGTAGTCAGAAGTTTAGTGTTCAGTTCTCTTTGGATTCGTCAGTGGACACACAGTAGCTTTGTTAGATTGTTCTCCTGTTGTCTGATAAAGAACATGGCCACTGAATATGGAGGACGGGAGACTACCAATCAGCTTGTGTCTCTGAAGCCACAAAGAAACCCATAGGTCATGGCTCCTATTGTTAGTCATTGTGTCCCCATGCTGAAGGTTGTATTTACCAGGCTGATGTGCTCATTATGAAACGCTGTTGGACATTTGAAAACAATAATTCTTTTTATTTTGATTCTGTAGGGCCCTAGAAAGAGTGTACAATGAATGGTGATACTCGAGCYGCAGTGGTGACCTCACCACCCCCAACCACAGCTCCCCACAAGGAAAGGTACTTCGATAGAGTGGATGAGAACAATCCAGAATACTTGCGGGAGAGGAACATGGCACCAGATCTTCGCCAGGACTTCAATATGATGGAACAGAAGAAGAGGGTGTCCATGATTCTGCAAAGCCCTGTAAGAGGAGTGCTTTCTCTGAGCAGATGTGATCTTCTTATGCTGTTGTATGAGTGGCCTCATCATTTTTTCTAACACAGGAGGTAGTACATCATATCGAGGTAGATGGTTGTTGAAGGAGTTCAGCTTAGTCTGTGTTTTATCAGACTCAATGAAGAATCTTCAGTGTCAGAACGGAGAGGAGGGCTTTACTTCTCTTTCTTCCTGTCTTAACTGCTTTCCAGAGGGCTTACTTTTTAATTTACTTATTTTTTGGTATTAAGGATTGAACCTGGGGTGCTTAACTACTGAGCCACATCTCTAGCCCTTTCTTTTTGTTTTGAGAGAGGGCCTCACTAAGTTGCGGAGGCTGGTCTTGAACGTGTGCTCCTCCTGCCTCAGCCTCCCAAGTGGCTGGGATTGTAAGTGTACCACCATAGTCCCTGGCTCAGAAAATAGTTTTTTTTTTTTTTTTAGGTACTAGGGATTGAATTCAGGGACACTCGACCACTGAGCCACATCCCTAGCCCTGTGTTGTATTTAGTCTTACTGAGTTGCTCAGTGCCTTGCTTTTGCTGAGGCTGGCTTTGAACT